CCATACTTTGCTTTGCCTCAATATTCTCAATTGGTATATCAATATCAGGAAGACCTGTTACTGGATCTAGTAAAAACTGCTGGTTCTCTTGCACTGTACTATCTATGTCCATTGGTTGATGTGTTCCTAATGGATGATGTACTTGTTGATTCATCAAAGGATCATACATATTCTGTTGGATATTAATAGGTTGATGTTGTGGCAAGGGTATATTAGCACGCATGGGAGATGCCATGTGCATATTATGTTGGGGCGTCATACCAGCCATATTGTGGTGTTGAGGTGTTACATTACCCAGAGTTGTTAACGGCGTTCCTGGAGAACTCATATGCGCTGGGGAATACATATTTGGTTGTGGAGTCATGTTAGGTAAGGGATTTATGCCAGCAGGTGGGGGTAGCACTGTTCTAGCAGCAGCAGGATGAGCTGGACTACCTTGTGGCGTTTGTCTCGATCCCGAAGAGCTCGAGTAAGATGGTGAAAATCGTCCATAATTCGCGGATGTTTGGTTGGTGTGCATCATAGGTGTGCCTTGGGCCCAATTTCGTGGTGAATTATACTGAGGCCCCTTAAACACGTGCGGATTTATTTGTAAAATTGCCTTAAGTAATTCCGGAGTATTCTGCTCGGTTTCCAAAGGCTGTTCAGTATTCGCATAATTATCTTTCAGTTCAATGTGATCAGACGATGTTTGAGACAAAGATAATATTAATTGTGGCACTAAGTTTTCATTGCGAACACTTAGCAATATTTGTGCTTCCTCTGCCACTCTTGGATGAAATAAAAGGGACTTGTTAGTTAAAGTCTGAGGCAGCGGTGTTGGAAGGGGCATTTCAGGTAACAAGTCAGTGAGACTCGCGATACCAGCGAGAGTTGTGATTGGCACACTTGGTATAACCCCGTTCATCTTGAATTTGACTTGTTCTGGCATTACAGCCTGGACAAAAAATATTATTAAAATTAGGTCCAGTGTCCTTACATGTATTCTGAGGTTCATAGAATTATCCAACGTAATAAACACTGCACTGACATATTATAAAAGTTTTGTTCACAGTATATGATAAATATAAATCAACAGAACATATCTAAATGCACTGTTTCCACAAATGTTTAAAGAAATCATTGTTAAAATCTTTACACTTGCATTTCAAGACATACCGACAAGAGAGATATTTCACTGTTTAACAGAATTGTATTTAACGCTTGTTAAAGAACACTAGCACTAAGGCATATACTGGGAACTTAACAAAGTCTCTTTTAAGTTCCCATGATGCACCAGAGATTATCAACCAAATTTTGATGAAGCACTTGGATCCTCCAACAAACGGTCCATTGTTAGTAATAATTTCTTGTCCTGAAACAAACACATTACACCAAATATAATGACATCCAAATTATTAGCACAAGCATAAAAATTCATTACAAAACTAATATTTTAAGATAAAAATTAAATAAATGAAATTATTTTTATAT